CTAATGACTCTATTAAGCATGCTATTAATATTTATGCTTTAAAATTAGGTATTACACAATATATTTTAAGAAAGTACCCAGGAGTGCCTGTGTAATTACTATTTATTTGAATCTTTGCTCTATCTATTTAATAGTGCTTAGTTATAAATTCTAGAATGAAAGTTTTAACGGGACCCAACAGTGTAATTTTTGGTGTTGGTGACTGAACAAGTCTATCTTAAATGCAGTATTGGATGATGATGCATTTCAAGATGTCTCCTCCTTTATCTTTTAACTTAGTGATTTCTAACAGTAATACATATGCTACCAGATGTAATGAATACTCAGAGATTCTGGCAGTAACTTGCTCAAAAAATAAATTATAAATTAGAGGCAAATTTTGGAGACAGAAACCATTCAAAGCTTTCCAACTTAGGCTATCATTTTAAAAATATATGACTGCATATGCATATGTGCATATGGTTATGATAGAAAAAGACGTAGGCGGTCATCTTACTAACAAATGTTATCTTATTTTTAAATAGTTTTATTTACCCTTTGAGAAGTTAATGCATGCATTTTGTTCATATCTAACCCAGTACCCCCTTTCACTATTTCTTGAAGACCATCTCTGACAAGTTTCCCTTTCAAATTTATATACTTTGTGTTGACCATCGACTAACTTAGTCCTGCTAGTCTATGTATAGTGTGTACCATCCATTAGAACATTGGTAACCTATCAGTGGCCACAACCAAAGAAAATTATTTTCTCTGCTACAACTACCACCAGTTGGCAGATGTTCCTTGCCTATATGCCTCCTGAGCTTTTTCCCCATCCGGAATGGAAGGTTGAATGGCTTGATCTTCTGCAGGTGATCACAGTTGCTGCAGGCTCACAAGTGCAACAGCTGTCCAGAAGACAATGTTTTACATCAATTCAGTCCTTCTACTTTTAAGTTCTTTCTATCCCTCTCTTGTGACATGTCCTATACCCCAACGGAGGGGAGAAGTGTTATAAATATCTTATTTAGCACTCACAGTCACTGTTCTCAGTGCTCTGACCAGACATTTGTCTCTGCATTAACCACACCAACTGCAAAAGAGAAGCCTGTTGTCAAGGTAAGAGCAGCACCAACCTATGGGGATAAGTAAATACTTAAGAAGATGAAATTGCCGTTTAGCGAAACAAGAGCAATATGTTTCCTATGCAACGACCTTCCCAGTTATGGGCTTTTGTTGTGTTGGTCATGGTAAGCATAAATCCCTCCTACACGGAAAGCTTAAAATCTAACCAGAAAACAGTTGATTACCCCCATAACAGTTTTGACTCTGTATCAGTGAGTACATCTTGCCAGGCAGACCAGTATTAGAACATGTAGTTCCCACGACTGCATTAGCTCATTGGTGGTTCTCCTTCCTCTGTCTGCCTTGCATACAACCAACCTCTGACACAATGGCAGAAATTCAGAAGATATGACATAACCATTTTGGCTCAAGATTAATTTCTCTATGAATTGTAAAGCAAAAGTGTGTTATTTTTAACAATATGTTCTTACCATCAATATGTTAATTATGGTGATCAAATAAAAACAATTATCAATACTGTGCGTTTTGTTGGGAACTGCTGATGCTTCCCTAAACAATAACTCCATGGAGTTATCCCATTCATTATTAAATTTTCATTTTATAAGCCGTGCCTTTTGGGGGTAGATTGTCCACAAATATAGCTGATTTCCATTCAAGCTCATATTATTCTATAAAAAGGTATTTTAATTAACATACAAACCAGTAGATTTCTATATGCTTTTTAATAAAGCCCTAGATTTGCTTTATTTACACTTACTGTCTTGTTTGCTTCCATCCCTATTCAAATCTCAAGTGTACTTGCCTCTCTTCTTTCATACAACATGTGTTGGATGTCCCTCAAATTTTGCACTTTTTAAAAAATTAAATTGTGGGATTGTATGTTTTGTGAGGATTCTTCACGCACCTTCATTCTGCTTAACTCTCCTGCAAGCTTCTAAGTTTCTCTCTTCTGATTTCTCCCTCAGTGCTTAAACCTTTCTCCCTTCAGCATTCTTCCTGTTTTTACTTTATTTAACTCTCAATAACTTTATTTTCATTTTGTTAAACCTCTTTCCTTCTTTCTCTTCATCTGTCTATCACTTATCCTCACTCATGTGCACGTGTGAGTGCGTGCACAAACACACACACATACACACACACACACACACACACACACACACACACACACATGCCACCACACATATGTGGATGTGAGATTTCAGACGTAGATTTTCTCCTTTCTTGTCAATGTTTTGAAATAACTGGGGGTTTCTAATGTTTTTCTTCTCTGAGGTTTTGATAGGATTGCGCAGGGGAACCCATCTGATCTTGTGCTTTGGTTTTTGTAGTGAGAGTTTTATGACTATTTCAGTATTATTTCATCATGGCTTATTTCTGGCGTATTTATTTACACATCGAGAATTTCTTTCTTTACAAAATCCATTTTAGAGGAGTAAAACTATTTAAGGTACTGTGTTAAAATTTCCTAAATTTCACTGGTATCTTTGGAAATGTAACCATTTTTCACTGGTATCTTTGGAAATGTAACCATTTTTCTTTCTAATTATTTGTAACCTTTCTTTTAGCCAATTTGCCTAAAATTTATATACTCTTTTTATCTTCTCAGTGAATTTCTAGTAGATATAAAGCCATTATTTTGTAGACAGCTTTGCTGAATATAATTCTCTGGCGTAAGAGTTTTAGTCTACCAGAACATGGAAATATCTTGGTATGTCTTCTGTCTATAAAAGTTTCTGCTACTTAATCAGCTATTACTGTATGAATTTGCCTTTAAGGGCAACTTGTCATTCATTTTTGAAGCTTTCAATACCTTTTCTTCCTTCTGTACTTTTAGTGTTTTAATATTAAATGTCATGGGTAGATTTTTTTATTAGTCCTATCGCATCTTCTATATGCCTTTTTTTTTTTTTTTTTTTTTTTTTTTCCTATACTGGCATCTATTTATCTACTTCTCTGTTTGGAAAATGTTCTTTAATTTAAAGTATTTTCTATGCATTTGATATGGTATTCTTGTCCCCATTCTATCATTTTATGCCATAATTCAAAAGTTGGGACTTTTCATTTTCCAAAACTTTCTTACAACCTGTTCATTTATTATTTTTTCAAATTTGTCAAAGACTTTCACTGAATTATTGAATTCCAATATCTTGTTTACATTCCCAATGCTTTACTTTCTACATGATCCCTGTATTTGAACACCAAATCCTAGAACATCTAAATTCTCCCACCCCTATTGTAGGGGTCCGTGTGCCTGGGTATATATCTCTGAACGACCTCCAGCTGCCTCCCCACCATAGTCTGTTGTCAAGTACCTTTCCCTGTGTCAACTCCAGGTTTTTTCTTGGATCCACATCTTCTCTGGTGTTAGACATGTTGAGTTTGATTGCTTTGCCTTGGGACAAATCTGCTATTCTCACTGGATTTGCAGCTTCCACCACATATTGTTGGACACCTTGTGCCCTGGTCATCTAAGCCTCACTTTGGACCTTCTGCCTGCTTCTGTAGGTCCTTTAGCATATTTAATGACACGTGTTCTTGTTCCTGAGTGTGTCCTTGCCCCACCCCTGATCAGCAGCTTCTGCTTATGAAACTCCAAAAATCAGGGCACCTCAATCTGGATTACCTCAATTTCTGTCCAATGTTGTAACACTGCCTACATCTGGATGCCTTGCCTTTCGTTGACTCAAAAATATTTTAGCCTTCACTATCATCAACAATTGTAACTTTTAAAAAAATTTCTCTTCCATTTGCTTAAGGTTCCAGTGTTCCAGTATTTAGGAGGGCCTGGGCCGTGCTCAAAATGATATGACAGACTTTGAAAACTCCCCATGGAAGGCCTCACCCTTCCTGAGAAGCAAACAGGGGGAGAGATTGGGGTCGGGGGGGGGGAAGGAGAAGATGGGAGGGTGCAGGAACTGGGATTAACATGTAAAACAAGTTTATTTCAAATTTAAATTTAAAAAATGAAAAAAAAAAGATTTGGTACTAAGTACTTTTTAAGCAATATCTCATTTATATTTGAGTTTGGGGAGAAGAGTGAGCTAATATGCAATGGGTTTAAGAAACATATACAATAACATCCCCCAGGTTAGTCATCAACCAATAAGAGAAACATATATACAGAAGGACATCTCCCATCATTTAATTTAGAGAGAGCTATCCAGTAAGAAGCCTAAGTCATTAGCCTAACAGTTTATAAATCAATACAAGTTTCTGTGTGTTTATTTTGGGCTAAATGGCTGTAGGACAGTTGGAAATGAAACTTGGTCCACAGGCCTATAGTGATAAAAACAAACATATTATGCAGTATACTTATAAGAGAAGGACAGTTTTGAGCACAGGGGATGGGAGTTATAGGAAATGTGCAATTGACGCTTTATGTTGGAGGTGGCTGCCAAATGATGTGTCCTCTGAGTTGAGACCATGTTGAAAAAATAAAAGCCAATTATCTCAAGGTGTACTATAAGACAAATTATGAAATATTCCAAAATTGAACATCTTTTTTTTTTTAAAGTTCCCATTGTCACTTGAAGGAAACATGAAGATAAGGGACAGATGTGATCTCTAACTTGGCCACTTAGCTTGCAATTTCAGCAATAAAGAAGGGAGGAGTTGGTAATTTTCTGTGAAAGGATGCTTAGAAAGTATAGAGTTGAAAATTAATTACATTCTTATGAACTTACAGACCAATGTGAAAGGATACACGGTAGAATTATTATTTAACAGTTGGATAAACTGAGGATTTATGCCATAAGAAATATTTATTGGAAGTGAAAACTAAGCATAAAATCTTGGTGCAAGTAGAAGATTTTTAATTTAGCCTTAAAATGTATTAATTAGCTTCAGAATAATTCGTACAATTAAACAGACACATGTAAGTGTAACTTCCTTTTGTTGGTTTATATTTTATCTCACTGTAAAATATTTTTTATCAGGCTATGAAGGTGAAAATTTGATGAAAATCCTAAAAGACATTGAAAGCAGCACAGAAATCATGCTGGACAGGTGGAAGTTTGAAGTCATACCCAATGACAAAGATGAGAAAGGAGACCCTGTGCCTTACAGCATCATCAATAATTATTTTTCCATTGGCGTGGTAAGATTTTCTACTAGATCTTTTTTTTTTTTTTAATCTGTCTTAAATACTGAATAACTACTATCTAAATCTATGAAAATTTACTGATTCAAAAAAATTGGTAACATTTTGTTATGAAATATCTATTTATTTCCTCTTCTTTAAAAAATAACTTACCCATAGTCTGTACTACGGTGTTCTGGCTGCACATAGTATATCTGTGTCCCACATGTGTACTTGGTACCCATGGAGGGCAGAACAGGGTATTGGAATGGTGCTGAACTGAAGTTACACACGGTTGTGAGCCACTTTAAGGTGCTAGGAATTGAAAACAGGTTGTAAGGAGTATGTTTTTTCCACCCGCTGCCATGCCAGCCCCAAATAATACACAGAGACTCTGTACTTGATACAATGCTGTTGGCCTGGTTACTTGTTTCTTATCGGCTAGCTCTGTCTTAAGTATTAACCCATTTCTGTGTATTTCCACGTGGTCTCCTTACTGGGGAGTGAGGCAAGCATCTGGTCTCCCCGGTCTCTCCATGCTGACTCCTCCTATCTACTTCCTCTTTCCTCCTTGACTCCTAGTACCGCCTATCTTCCTTTCCTATTGGCCAACAGTGCTTTATTATCAACCAGTATGAGAATCATATATACATAATGGCATCTCCCATCATCTCCTCTTTTCTGTCTAAATAAAAAGAAGGGTTTTTTAAGCTTAACATAGCAAAATATATAACACAACAGTTATCAAGTAAGGATCACAGTTAACAATATTTAGTCCATTAACATTTAGTAAGATTTGAAGAAAATATTCCATTATCTATTTTATCTTGTGAGTCTAAAGTCCTATATGTAACTTATCTTTAATCCTAACTAAGGAAAACTAACTATAACTATCTGTCTTCAACTCCTTCAAAGACCACAGAAGGATAATATATAAACTCTAGAAATGACAGAGACAACTCATTGCCTGGTCACCCGAAGTTCTTTTGTAATCTTGCATCTTCAGCCCATAGGCCATAGTGTGTCTGGCAGACTCTTCAGCAAAGCAGGAGACTTTAAACTGTCTTCTTGTATTGGCAGTTTGTCCGTCACTTTTCTCTGTGTCCTGCAGACTGTCTGGCAGACTCTTCCATGAAGCAGGAACTCTGTAGCAATGTCTATCTTGAATCAGCAGTCACTTTTCTGTGGATCCTGCATGTCCAGTTTATACATCATAAAGTCAAACAGTCCAGACAAGAGCAGTATCTTGTCTACATGGCTAGTATTGCCATATTGAGAGCAAACTTCATAATGCATTTCTTCGATGTCCATCTTCCATCTTCCTTTCTGGTGCAGGTGGTATTGCCAAGAGCAATTATGTCTCACAGACACGAAAACCCTAAACCATTTTAAATGCCATATTTTGTAGGTCTTTGAAAGGTTTGAAGAATGCTTATCTATCTTGAAAAACCTAACTAACTTAACTCTAAACTTTGACTATCATAGATAATTATCTATTATCTGTACTACATTATACATTACATTTCTAAATGAGCTATATAAACACAATACCTAAAGAAAAGGAGAATATACACTCACAAAATTGACCTTAAATTTGTATCAATAAATGAAAATCTGTTCTAAAACAAAGTATTCATATCTATACCATAATTCCCTTTTTACCTTTAAAAAGAGATTGGTTGTTGTCATTAACCATTTAAAACCAAGCCCACTTAAATGAAAACAAACATAAACAATATTTGGGAATATTTGGGAATTTGGGCGTCGTTCTTTCCAAACTACTTCCTGCTGATAGGGGGCGCGGTCATGGGGATCCTAAGAAGATGCAGAAATCTTCTTTGGCTGTAGTCTGCAAGGCTGCCTTGTTTAAGCTGTTTTGAACATTGTATCACCAGCAACTCTGTTTCAGGGGGTCTGGCTTGATCAAACCACATTAGTCTGGAAGGAATCCACAGCCTTTTATTTTCTGTGGAAACAAAAATAGAAATCCTTTTCCCCAGTAACTTGTTCTTAGACTTAAATTTTTGAGTCAAAGCATTTTTAAAATATATAAATTGAATTAATCCAGCAGCATTTCCTTTAACAGTTGTGTTTCCTCAGCAGTCAAATAATACAAAGACAATATAATACCGTACAGTATACAAATTTTCTCCATCTGTGTCTTTTTATTATTCTGTTTCTTTTCTATTTTTTGAGACAGGGTTTCTCCTTGTAACTCTTATCTGTCCTGGAATTTACTCTGCATACGAGGTTTACTTTGCAAATCACAGAGATCTGCTTGCCTCTGTCTCTCAAGTGCTGGGATTAAAAGCTTGTGCCAATACACCCAGTTCCTCTTTGTCTTTTTAAACCCATTTTATTTTTTTCCATGTCTCCTTATTTTAAAACACACTGTAAACCTTTAGATTCTTAATATGAATCTGTCTTTACTGTAAATTTTTATCTTCATCTGGCCACAAGTCTTTATCTGTTAAACAACAACATTGTTAAAATGAAAGTCTTTGTTGTTTCTGCCGCGGTTTATAAAAGTTGGTGGCGGCTATTTTACCGCCAGCCCTGGTGCTTTTAATGGTTGAGCAACCATCTCTATGGCCCTAGAAATACCTTATTACATAATAATACAGCTTACAATTTCCTTTAAAATCAGACTATCAACAGTTCATAAATTTTCATGATGTAAACAAATGAAAGAAACTATATACATCACTCTTGGCTGTTTTTGTTATCAAATGAATCTTAGAATGATTTAGAACATACTCTTCACTTCATTCAGTCTAATCTACATACTTCTGCAGAGGCATGCCTAGAGGATTACCTAATGTAGAAAATGCCTCACAAGCATGTCTGGAATTCATCCCACAAGTGACTCATGATTCCATCAAGTTGATGATGAAGATTAGCCATCATAACCTCATCCCTTATCATCTTGACTTGTGAAAACATCACTTTTAACCAAGCTCCTCCCCAACCTTTGCCTTTCAGGCTCTTGATCATCTCCTAACAGAAAATGCACTCCACCCATCATCAAGTTTCCATACTCTTTAGCAGTTCCTATAATGTCTAAAGTCCTTTTCTGAGACTCACTATAATGTATTAACAGTGATTTCCTAGCTTAAAGAGAAATTAAACAGTGTTACTGAAGTTTTCTTTCCAGCATGCAGCCACTTTGCCCCAAATAATCACAAAAAAAAAAAAAAAAAAAAAATCATCCCTAAAACTGTTGGCCAATGGCTTAGACTACTTATTGGCTAACTCTAATTTATTTACCCAGTTCTATTAATCTAATTATTTCTATGTGGTGTTATCTTACCTAAAAAGTGTCTATTACATGGTGTCTACCTGTAGCACCTCTCTGCCTAACACTCCCAGAATTCTCCTCATCTCTTAGTACTGCCAATCTTCCTGCTACTATTGGCCAAACTGTTTTATTCATTCACCAATAAGAGAAACATATATGCTGAAAGTCATCCCCCATGATTTTCTCTTTTCTATCTAAATAAAAAGAAAGGTTTTAGATTTAACACAATAAATTTATATGTAACAAAACAGTTATGAAGTAAGAACTATAATTAACAATATTTACTCCATTAAAATTTGGCAAAATTTAAAGAAAATATTCTAACATCTATGCTATCTTTGTGAGTCTAAAGTCTTATAATTTATCTTTTATCATAACTAAGAAAATCCATAACTGTAACTAGCTGTCTTAACTCCATCAAAGACATTTGCTCACTGGCTTGGTCTATGATGCCATCAGGCGGCATGCTGCTGGCTGGTCATAAACACCATTTGTTTGGTAACAGAAACTTTTAAAAGAACCATGTGGTTTTTGCTGCTTATGCTGAGTCAGGCAGACACTCTTAAAGGAACTTTGAGCCTTTACTTATCTCTAGCAAACAAAGCCTACCCAAGAAAATGCTGCTACCAAGAAGCTGTGCTTGTATCTGCTCCTTTATTTTAATAATCCTGTTTAAAGTTTGTGTAAGGTTTTTGTTTTCCTAGATATCATGTACCAACAGGGTGGAGCAAAGATTGTGTTTAGAGCTGTATTCTTCTGTTATTGGCTTTCTCTCTCTCTCCCCTAAATGAATATTTTTTTCTTGAAAACTTTCCAGAGCATTTGTCTTGAAATTATACCATAAATATATTGAGAATTGTTAGAGTGCCATAATCTTGTCACACATAGAATGGACATAAGTATTCAATAATGGCGTTAACATTGTTCAGATAACCTGGCTGATAATTCTGTAAAACAAGCTCCCTATCAGGAAAAAACATGATATAACCCTGTTCTTCATTATAATAGCAAATGATGTAAATGTTCATGAATTTAATTTGTAGTCAAACATGGTGGTGAACACTAATTGCAACTATCTGAAGTTTCAGGCAAAAGTATCAAGAATTAAAATTGAAAAGCAAAATGATGGGCCTAATCAAAGTGTGGGATAGGATATGTGTATGATTGTGAGGCAACGCATTGCTAAAGAAATAAGGAGGAGAGAGAGTTTTCATTTAGGGTTTATTTCTTCCCTCCCTCCCCTCCCTCCTTTACTCTTCTTTTTATTTTCTTTTTTCTTTTTATGTTTCTTTTTGTTTTTGTTTTGTTTTGTTTTGTTTGAAGGGTCCTTGTCCTTTTGACTTGAAGCCTTTGATGCAGCATTACATGGGAATAGGATTCTTTTCTGGAAAGATTTACAACTTTACACAGTAGTGTTGTCATCAGAATAACATACCTCATGGACAGTTTCTTTATCAAGTACTCATCACAGGGAGCCTCCTGTGCAACAGATTGCATTTTTCTTCCCTGTCAGTATATCTATATAATTAAAAAAAAATCTGTCATAAGCTATTCTTGAATGTACACTAAGTCATTAACTTGAACTGGGCTATTCAGTCAGTCACATAGAACTTGCCAAACAAGTGTGTTTGCTCTTAGTCTGATACTTATTAAGAAGAAAAAAGATAAATAAAAAAAACAGAGAGTGAAATAAAATGTAGCAAAGTTGAAGAATAAAAGG